CAACATTTTCCATATCCTCATCAGCACTTTCTTGTGTGATTTTTGATGCTAGCCACTGGTGCTGCAGTGCTGTCACACTGCATAGTACCACCAACTTGCATTTATTTATTACTGATATTTTGAATTTTTCATGCTCAGTTTTGCAAAAAGTTAATGATTTATTATACTTCATCATATTAAGAAAAGACAATTGAGAGAAAATTTTAAATTACATCAAGTAAAAATACATTAAGTTGGGCATGGTAACGTATACCTGGAGTACATGCACTAAAGAGGATAAGACAGCAGGACTGCAAGCTTAGATCCAGCCTAGGAAATGCAGAGAGAACCTGTAGAAACAACAAACAACACCACAAACCAAAAGCTGTTAACACTCATAGTATTTGTATCTTATTATTCAAAGAAATGCTCTGTCATATCAACTCTATCTAGCTCACTTTATGTCATCAGTTTAGCCTATTTTTAATAGTATGTATCTTCACAAACATATTTAATATGCTAGTTGGTATTATGTACTATATTACATATTTGAGGTTTAATTATTTCCTCAAGTAACTGAAAACTTTTACAGTTTTATTTTACTCCAAATATTTGAAATTCATGATAAACTTCTTTCGGTTTTCTATGGGAAAAACTAATTATAGATATTTCTAAATATTATTTTCTTTGAAGATCATATTTTGTCACCAACACCACAGAAAGTAATATTTGGCTTTAACACTGTCATATATGAATAATTTCAATAGCTTACATATATTCAGTCTGCATTCAGACCACAGATCTGCAATTTGAACAGAGCTACTATCAGCCATGGTTCAACCTAGGTTGTAATGTAAATATGAAAAGATTTAATGAGAAAAGAAAAAAAAGTCCATACTATCTTTCATGATAACTTACTCAATTTGTACTATAATAATTCAGTTCATAGTTTGAGAGGCTATGGTTCCATGTTCGAATTTATTGTAGTTGCAGTTCAGTACACAGCTACATAATTCAATTTTAACTGCTATAGTTATTAATAATCAGATATTGTTTAATAAAGAAATAAAGTAGCTTCAATGTATTGTAATATGGGTATCCTTGTGATGATTGGAAATTTACAATTCTCAAAATTCTTTAAAATAAACGTCTCCTTTGTTCTTAGAAATATTCTCTTCTTTTGATAATATTTCTTAAGTATGAGCTATGTAAAGGAAAGAGGTCATTGCTTTTAATAAATTAAAAACCTAAGTAAAAAGGTGCTGTATTTATCCTGTAAATTATATGTTATGGTAAAAAGATCAATTCTTTTAAAAACACAACCTTCATCCTTCAGGGTTCATACTGAAATTCATCACATCATAGTGGCTAGAATTCCTTATAATTGTGAGTCAATGAAGATACTGACTTTTACCTATGTGGAAGATCTCAGACTGCATGTCTTAGTCTTTGCATTAAGTAATAGATAGCTTAGGACAGTGACATATGCACTGAGTAGATTTAATTCCTGTTGGGCTCCTATGGAAATCATAGAGAAGACTGTGCAGGTTCTCTCTTTATCGAAAGCTTTAGAACTATATACATGATTAAGATAGTTCAGCAAACATTTAAAAAATATTTTATTTATTATTTTTATTTTATGTGTATGAGTGTATTGCCTGCATGTAGGTTAGTGCACCCATGTCATGCAATGCCAGCGGAGGACAAAAGAGACTGACAGATCCCCTGGAACTGGAGTTAGGAACAGTTGTTAGCTACCATGTGGGTGCTGGGATTTCAATCTGGGTCTTCTACAAGAACAACCAGTGTTCTTAGCTGCTGAGCCATCCCCTCAGCCCCAGTTCATTGAACTTTATACAGAGTAACCTCATACTACATAAAGAGACCTGCGATAAAGCTCCTGTTCTCTCTCCTTGCTCTAAGAATAGCATGAAAACTATTAGTTCATATAAATTATTTTTTAGATATAAAATATTTTCTAGGATTTATCAGAAGTTATAACGAAGCTATTATTTAATATTTGAGAATTTGACAATTGAACTTACAAGTATTTAATACTGTTTGAATGCTGTATGCTTTTATTACTAAATTACTTGGAAATAATGATAAATCAGAAATAAATTTTGTCATGATTGCTCCAAATATGGATGAGTTGGCTTCGAAAATAGTTTATTAGTTTTTCAACACAATTTAGTAAATTGGATCCCACAGTGAAGGAAAGCAATAATACTCTTATGATTGCTACACTATGACAAACCCTCCACATTTATTTCATAATGTGTTTTTTCAGAACTCTTATTGCTTTCCTACTGGCCACTTAAGATTATAAAACCGAATTTCTTTTATCAATGAATTAATTGTACACAATAGGAAAAATATGAGGAAAATTAAGTTGAACCCATTAGTCGTTTTCAAACTTGTGAAACCATTGCTATTATTTTTTCTGTATGTTTGATTAGACATTTATTTTCTGGAATTACAATGTTGTGTTTTGATATTTAATTTTGGAGAGATCTAGATATGTTACAGTGCACAAGATAATTTCACACAACAAAGATTTGTCTTAGTTAAAATGCTAAAGCACTGTTTGGAGAACGCTATTAATAAAAAAGTAATATTAAAATTTTATTACAATTATAAAAACATGTTAAAACTATATTTCAGGATAATAAATAATTTAAAACTATCAAAAGTGAATTTGTGATTATTAGAATAGGCCTAAATTTATTTAATCAAGATTTTATATGTTATTAAACATATTTCTATGATAAATACAGTTAATTGAGAAGTATTCATGCCTGTAAAAGACACTTCATTCTCACTCTAACTTAAGGAAAATAAGCTTGAATTTTCTCCTTAATACTTGGTCACCTCTAACCATTTAAAATAAAAAGTAGGGACGGAGATTCATGTCATCTAATTGAATAGTGAATCTGCATTTTTTTCTATTTTGATGATATGGATTAATTGGCTGTTTTAAAGTAGTTATATAATATAATAATCAAACTTTTATGCCTATATAATAGAACTTAAAATAATGATCTACAGATCTAAGATATCTTGTTGTAAAACTTGTTTATTTCACTTTCCAAATGTGAGTTTTAAAGCGGTTCCATCTCCAATCTACAGATTTCCATAGATAGGGAGACTAGTGGAGATTCGGCAGAGTCAGTGCGGTGATTGCGTACTCTGCCATGTGTTCAATACATCAGTACATACTAAGCATGATAATGTAATAGGCCGCTCTTCATAATTCTTCATAATTCTTGTTGATTTCTAGTTTCTTTAGAAATTTAAACCCAGGTCAACCAATTCACTTTCTTTTATAAGTATTTTATGCTAAACAAATAACAAATCCTAATAGAACAGGTAGATTCAATGATCTTTATAATGGAGTATTGGTAATGAGTAATGATAACTTCCCCAAATTCATTAAACATTTATACAACAGTTAGCTTATGAAGTAGAAACTTCATTCAATGTGTTTTTATGAAGAAACCGAGTTAGATAATAAAATATGTATTATGTTTTGCAAAATTAAGGCAAATCTTTTCAACTGAATAATGCCCTTTGACAAATATCAGTTGAGTAATATGTATTTGTGATTCACTCTCTGAATCTATCAATGTAACTTATATAATCACATCCCATACTATAGAATATACTTATTTCCTAATTTTCTGTTATTTATGTTCCAGCATTACTACATGATGATGGATTCCACTATCATACATTTTTTGTTGTTGTTGTTAAAATTTCCAGTGTGACCGTAGGAGATTTCACAAGGTCCCACATCGAGATGAAGCAAAAAGGCAATCAATGGTTGCTGAGGGAGGGAGAATTATTTTCTTCAGAGATTAGTTCCCTAATATGTTATGCAATCCCAAGCGGTCAGCCCCAAACATTGAACAGATTATACATGTATATGTACATATATATGTATATATACAACAATAATAATGAAATACGCAGATGTAAAAATGAGAAGAATGGAGTGTGCGTGAAGAGTTAAGTAGAGGGAGGGTTAGAAATGATATTAACATAATGCAAATGTATGAAGTTCTTAAAAACTAAAATAACCCTGAACTGCTTTGGAGAGTTTTTTAAATATATGCTGTAATGATTTTAATCAACAATATTATTAGAATAATTTTCATGTTAAGATTTTTGTGTGCATTCTTTCAGTGGTTTCCATGTAGGTTTGTAAGTCAGTATGATGACTCTTCAATAACATAAAAGAAGAGTTAAGTATTAGTAGAAAATGAGTGGCGGAATAAGCCTGGTCTTTAAATTTTTATAAACTTGAATTTTCATTTGTACTCTCCACTCCCTTAACTGGGAGTGCTCTTTCCTTTGCCTGTACTCTTGGGAGATATTTTTAAATTTCAGAAAATTTATCCATCTGTAAAATCACATAAGGCAATGTTTTCTAAAGTTTATTTAAAAATATGTAATACCTCATGCATAAATAATTTTATGAATGATTTCTAGTCTTCAATACGTGACAGGGATTGAGATGCAAAGTCCATTGACTGGGGTTAAAATATGTGATGATGTTTGGGCTGTGGTCTCGTGCTTAAAAAGCAATTCAATGTAAGTCCTCAACAAAAATCTTGAATTTTTTTTTCCAGAAATAATTTCAGGATTTCTTTTCATTTCTGTGTTCTAATGATTCTTGTTCTTTAAATCTATGTCCCAAATTTTTGTAGTGCTATTTACTTAAATATCTTGCATATTCATGGCAGGAAGGCATATTATTGCAGTGCACAAACCCTGGAAAATGGCTAAATCAGGAAGATGGCTACATACAGGTTGAGCCTGCCCTCATGGTCTGGCAGCTCTTTATCAGTATCCCATTTATCCATCCTTGGGATCCATTGCACTTGGGTCTTTTAGAATTTCCTACAATAGAAAATCGGTTTTCCATTTTGTGCTAAATGTAGTTGAAGATAAATATGGTTTATCAGAGAATAAATAGTTATGTTTTGTAATAATAATTTATCATTTTGTGTTTTAAATAGGTAATCCATTATTAAGCAGCAAAGTCAACATACTGATTAATGTCCTAGATGTCAATGAATTTCCTCCAGAAATATCTGTGCCGTATGAGACAGCTGTGTGTGAAAATGCCAAACCAGGACAGGTACTTTTCCAATACAAATAACTGTGTATAAAGAGATTTCCTACATGTGTATAAAGACCTTTCTTGTAGCTTTATGTGTTACGTCTAGAAATAACTAAGCATCATATGCTTATTTTCCTGGATCAAAAATCTTCACAAAATAAAATATAATTAATCCTAAACTCATAAGAATTAATGTTACATGTATATAAAACTAAAACCTAAGTGACATTGTTTTTGTTGCCTATTGAAAACTATTTAGATTATTAAAGATGTTAAACTATCTATTTCTCTATATTCTTCACAGTTTCTAAGGAACTTATGATTATGAACCAGGAAACAAACACATTAATGTGCATTTCCTATGTTTCATGTTTTGATTTCATAAATGGTACATCGAAGCTATTTAGCACTCTGTCATGTACACTTTCCTTCTCTTGTAGCTATAAGAGGAGTATCTGAATAATTCAAAATGTGTGAACTGCATTGTGGATAACATGTCAATATTGTGTGGGGGAATGTTGCAGTACAGAGATGTTGAAAGAGTAGAACACAGATACAGTGGAAGTTATTGACAAAGCTTCAACTTTTGTGTAAGGTGATTTGGGCAGCCAGGTTTCTCCTTTTTATCCTCTGCAATATTATGAAAGAATGAATAACCAAGGGAATCGAACATGATTTTGTTTGGAATACTCTATGAAGCAAAAATATGATTCATCTATGTCCGTGAAACTAAATCCAAATGGAAAATACATTAGTAAATCTTCTCTTTATAGATGTGTCAATCACTTTTGAATAGCATAAGAAATTATCTAATTCCAGTTCCAGGGTTTCTAACACCTTGTTCTGTCCCCCGTGATACTGCATGACATGGGTGCACCTAACACATGTGCACGCATAATACTCATACACATAAAAATTCAAAATTTTTTTACATAGAAGAGTATCTTTTGATTTTCAATGTGTTTATTATTTCATGCTTAATACTGTCAAATAGAATATTTGTTCCAAAGTTCTGAACACTAAAGAGACAAGATTATCTGTCTATCCTAGCCCCAAAATTTAAAATAATTTTTATTTAATTTTTATGAATTTTGTACAATATATTTTGATCATATTTAGATACTCTCCCCTATCTGCACCACTTTTATAGCCCCCCCATATGTATATACTCTGCCTTATAAATTAAGGACTTATGGAGTCAAGTTTGTGTCCACTAATATCCTTTGGTGTGTGCTCATCCATTAGAACCTGACTAACCTATCTAGTGCCACATCCTTAGAGAAAACCAACATTCTCCCAGTAATTATAGGTTGACAATACTTCTTCAGCTAAAGTTAGGGCTTCTTACCAACTCCACAACTTCTATGCTGGGATTTTGTCTGACTGGAGCTTTCATGGGTCTGGTACATGCTCTACCATTACTTTAAGTTCATATAAGCAATACCCAGTAGTCTGGAACATTCTATTTCCTTGTAGTTACCAACTGGCTCTGGCTCTTACAATATTTCTGCCCCTTCTTCTGCAATGGTCTCTACACCTTTGATATCATAAGTTGGATATAGGTGTCCTACTCAGGGACAAGAACTCTGAAATCTCTTATAATCTACACATCTAGTGTGGTTTTCAAGGTTAATTACCATCTGTTCCATGAGGAAACTTCCCTGGTGAGGTTTGAGCGATGTATTACTACTCTTCCTTCCCCCTTTTCTACTGTATTTCTTCATCCTTATGTGTAGAAGTTGTAGTGTAGTTGTGTTACTCAGGGCTGGGCACCTCACAGACCCTTATTCTCTGAATTTGACCACTTATAGAACTTTGTATTTGTCTCCATCTGTAGCAAAAAGATACTTCTTTAATGAGTGGTAGAAAGTATACTTGTCTTTATATATAAGGATACATATTTAGAATACAGTAAAAATTGCGTTGGTCTAGTGATGTGACAAAAGTAGTTTTGTTTCTAAAATATATGAGCCCTTCAGTCATGTGCATTTTCTTAGGTTTGCAGCACCACACATGAGTCCCTCTCATTGAATTGGCCCTAAGTCCAACTTGATTACCCCCAAGATTTGAAACCAATATTCTCATTCAGACTACCCACAATTTCACTGCTCGTGAAGTTCATGTTTGTTGAATGGGTACCATTTGTAGAGCACTTTTGATAATCTGGGCAATTCAACAATTTCTTTCATCATAATTTAATTTGCATCCTAAATTTTCAATGGACATAGCAATGTGACAAATAAGCCCACTTCTTTCTTCATGTCTACAATACTAGATGTTGCACAAGTATTTGGCTGCTAATAAATTATGTCATAAAATTGGTTACTTGAAAAGTTATAAGATATTAACTAAAAGCTCTAATTTTAGGTGTTTTCACTTTCCAGATGTCCCATTACATCAATGTTTTAAAAATCTAATATTAATAATTTCAAATCAATCAAACCTTGCAATTCTCCCAATGATAACAGTTGGGAATAGTTCTCTATTAAATTAAACATTGTCTTTTAAATTAAAGATTTGAACTATTGAGAAAAGTAAAATTTATTTGAGTTCAGCTTCCTCTTCTTTTATGTTGTAAAATAATGAGGAATCTGCTTGTGTACCCAGTGTCAATATTTTAATAAATAGCTATTTTGTTCTACTAGGAAACACTTAAGTACAAAGCATTACCCTGAAATGTCCCTTGGATCTCCAGAGTGCTTGGTATATGGGCATGTTCTGAACTTGGCTCCAGCCCTTATTCCTTTGGTCTAAGAAGTGTACATAGGAAAACTTTGTCCCTTCTGTATTATTCTATAAGTAAAAATGTATCTATATATTCATACATGTGTATGTGCGCATGTGTGTATATCTACACATCATCTATTTACCTATCACCAGTCTCTCTTGAGTCTATCCTTCTATTTTCCTATCTGTCACTTATGCAGAAAGGAAAGAAAAACTGGAAAGAAAGAAGTTGTAAAAATCAGTGAAGACTGGCATCAAAATTGTTTTTCTTAGGGCGATGTTTTAGTTTCTTTTCCTGTCACAGTGACAAAATACCTTGAAATGGCAACTATGGTGATTTGAATGATAATGTTCTCCATAGACTCCAGTGTTTGAACAATAGGTCAGTTGATGGTCTTTCAGGAATGCCATGGAACCTTTCAGTAGATGTGGCTTTGTGCAGGAAGCATGTCGCTGGGGACGGTTGAGGGTTCATGGCTTTGTTCCACTTCCACTATCTCCCTCTCAGCTTCCTAGGGGCATTTGAAGGTGTGAGCACTTAGTTATCTGCTTTGTCTGCCTCTGTCTCTAGGTCTCCCTGTCATGATGGATTCTTATTCCTCTGGAACTATATGTCCAGGAACTCTCCTTCCTTTTTGTAAATTTTAATTGAATTTTTGTGTATGTCATCTAGAACATCTTAATCATCTTTATACCCCCTACCTTTGGAACCCTCCCATAGAACCCTCTGCTGGATTTCACTGATTCTGTAATTTGTGTTAAGGCCTATCAAGATGCTTTCATGTCCCCAGAACTCCCTCAGTGCAAGTTCATCTACTGAGGTCTAGTCAGCCTATCTAGAGTCAATCTCTTTAAGAAGATCAGCTTTTCCTCACCCAGCAGTAATCAGCTGCCAATACTTTTTCACCTAAGACCGGGGCCTGCCAACAATTTCCACAGTTCAATGCTAGATATTTTTTATATATTTTTAAATTATTTATTTATTTATTTACTTATTTACTTATTTTCTAGTTACATAAATAATTCATTAAGAATTTCATACATGTATATAAAGTGTTTTGAACAAATCCATGCCCACTTTCTCCCCTCCAACTCCTCCCATAACTCCCCATCACTTTTTCTCTGATAACTTCTAAGTTTCTTTCTTCTTCTTTGATTATTTTTTTTCCTGTGGGGATTTTTGGCTACTCTAACATTCCCCCTTCTGAAGAGGTATCCCTAAAATCTTTTAAGGATTAGATACTAGCTCCCAAATACCTTTGACATTTTTGGCCTTTGGAACAGATTAGGTTGCTAAGAGGTTCAAGGACATTTCTACTTTTAGCTAAGAAACTAACTGCTTTACTTTGGGGTCTTTTTACCCTAACTGCCTAGCCAGTTCCTACCTCCTATTCTTATCACTCTATCCACTGGAGAGGTTACCCAAATTGCCAATAGGGAATCGGGATGCAGACCGCTCTGGTTTTTTCATGCTGAACAAGGATGCAGGGTGAGGCAGTTAGGGTACCCATTCAGTGGGTCTATCTAAAAGACTCTCAAATTGCATAACTCTTATCTCTAGGGGGGGAAAGGAAGTCCTTGAATCGTGAATGGGAGATGTTAAGGAGAAGCAAATGCAAGAGTAATTAGCATTACAAGTTCTAGACAGGGAACTAGAAAAAATGTCAGAGCAGTGCAATTTTCAAATGTTCATATGAGAGACCATTGGAATTTCTTGACAAGGGCTTCCAAAAGCATCCCTCTATTGGGTTCTTCCTCATTTTTCTTTTGTCTTCCAAGGCTGGACTCTAGAGTGATGGATTCCGGATTTGTTTTCAGGTATTTTGATAGCTGTTGGAGTGGTTAGAATCAGTGTCACTTCCCCCTCAAAGGCTTCTAAATAGGGGGGAGAAAACAAATTTATCCATCATTTTAGAACAATACCTGGTTAG